ACGGAGAGCAGGCGAGGTGTCTGCTTTTCTCCTGGCTCCTGTAACACTTCTGAAACCAACACTGCCGGACAGCTGCGTCTTCGTACAGCATGTTCTGCGTTACCTCAACGCTTGAACACTCCGACTTGACAATGAACTACTTCATCAACTAGCCTGGAATTCAATGTCTGAATACTGCTTGCGCTAAACAGGAGCAGGTCCAACCGGACCCATGACTCGACAACAACCAACAACCCGGATAGTGGTACGCCTCGAGACTCGACAGAGCCACACTGAGCCCTGTGCCACTCGAAACATGTCCACACCACCACATCGTTTTTCATGATCACCAGGGCCGGTAGAACAGTGCACGCTATGCGGCTGATGCCGACGAGCTCCAGCCTGCTAATTTATCTCATCTCCACACTGGCGCATCCTCGTCATACTTTGACGTGGTAGCACACGGCTGTCAGGCTGTTTCAGTTGCCGTTCACCGTGCAACCGCTGCTGCCAGTTGCAAAATCTTCCACCCTGGGAAATTAGGCTACATCATAGTTAAGGGTACAAGTACCCGTTGAGGCAGTGACAGGTGACACCCCGAATTCGACGAGGGATGGGCCTGGTTACTTAAAGGGGTATATTGGCCTGCTCGACATGGTATCGTGACGCTCTAGGATGGACCTTCATCGTGGGGAACACGTATAGGGACTCGCGCATCTCGGCGAGGGAAGAGAAAGTTTGGTAGCCTTCAACATGTTGGGCTCTGTCTACCGTTGGTGCTTATTCAGAACGAAGCCAATACAGCATGAGCGGTAACTGATCTGGTCGACCACAGCATAAGCGTGCGTGAAGCAACGAGAAACAAGTGACACGCAGCGCCATTGAAGCAGTGTTCTCTATGGAAATGTTTCCCCACTATCGTTTTTCCCACCGCTGAGAAGTCGCATTTTGCACCTCGGCATGCTTGACTCACAGATTAACATCCTCGGTCTTGTGATGCGTCATGGGACTTTCATTGAACAGCCTGCCCATGTAGCACATCTGCACAAGCGTCTACTGGATTGCTCCTCGCCCGAGCAAGTCTCGTTACGAGGCTAGCATACGTTCGCATCAATTTTTTCTTCTTCGCCGATCAAGTCGCTGCGCTTCATCCCGTTGCTTCTTTCCTCTAGAACACAATATTCAGCTAAGGCCAGGCACGAATTGACTTGCGTAAACACCAATGATCTGGAAGCCGAGGATAACAAAAGAAATTACAAACCGCATGAGGAGTCTTTGAGTTCTACGAATAGAAGTCATACGTGGGGGTGACTCCAAAACTGGGTAGCCACGGTTTCGATGGTGAGAGACCTATAAGGTTACGTTATTGTAAAGAAGAATGTGTGAATCTCCGTACCCCTTTTCCAATATCAAGAGCAATCGGCTCTTGAAGCAAAAGGCACTTGGAACGAACCGAATGGGTGCAAGCAGTCCGTGGTTGTTACAGAACGAGGTTCAAAGTTAAGACAGTCCAGACAGCTCGTAAAATGTCACAACCGTGTTAAAGAAAGAGACAAGAACGTGCTTGCGACACACCACGTACATGCGACAAAAGTCAATACGTTGGCTGCGGAGTGAATAGTGCTTGTTTTTGGCTAGAATATTTTATATGACATGGTGAAGGGAGAAGATGTTGCCAAGAACATACTGTTTGTTTGACCACTCGACAAAAGAAATCAGCCCATCAACCAGGGGCTCTCTTCCAGCCAAGATGCCTCAGACATCGTTTTGAGAACCCCTCACAAAGGAAAAACGCCATATATGCAAAACGGACAAGTTGAGACAAGTTGTCAAGGTATCGATCGAAGTCGAGTAAAACACAAAGATCAGACTGTCGAAACCTCAAAAATTGGGCGAGGCCGAAGCAAGGGAGATCGCACTGAATCAACCCAAATGTACACAAAGTAACGAAATAGTTCCGGAGTAGCATGGTAGCCTGCGAAGATAGCCAGGTGTGTTGTTGTCACCTCTCATGTAACGCCGTTGAAAATGCAAATCTTTCATCCTATTCCACCCATCCTTGACCTGGTGATATACCCTAAAGGCACTCGCACGGGAAGTAACCTTGGTTTCGTGAATCATAGGTCGTCGTCGTCCAGATCGATCGCATCGGGATTCGCGGCAGCCTCTTTGTCCTGCTTGATATTACCGCCTTGAGGACCTGTACTAGCGGCGACGAAGCCAGCTGGCGCGCGAGCTTGACGTTCGAGAGCGGCCATGGCATCCTCGCCAGCAGCATCGGCGTCGTCGGCGTCTTCGTCGGTAGGCGCACCATTCTGCTGGCCGCGGGCGACAGCCTGGGAGGCGATAAAGTTAACGTCGGTATTGTACTGAGCCTGGACACTGCGCTTGATGCGCAGCATCTCCTTGTATGTGTCCTCGTTTCCATGCTGGACTTCGAACGCCTCCCACTTCTTCCAGAACTCGGGGCTTGTTCTCGGGTCGCAGAACTGGCTGGCATGGCCGTAGATTGCTCTGGCTCGGTCGATTTCTCCCAATCGCCGTTCCATCTCGGCAAACTTGAGGCACATCTCTTTCGCCTCACCGTCGGGGAGGGCAGCGATGGCGCGCTCGTAGATCGGTCGTGTGGAGGTGAGACCGAAGTTAGATGCCGACTTGGTGATGTAGAAGTTGAACATCTCCAGTCTGTCTTCGTCTGCAACGGCGCGTGTAGCACGCTCGTAGATACGCATAGCATGTCTGGCTAGGCCGCGATCCTCTTCAAGCGCACCGTACATCAGGTACAGTACCTTGGCAAACTTTGGCGGACAATCCTCGACAGCCTGTTCGAAAAGGTCTCGCAACCGCTCCATTCCAATCTTGCGGTCCACGGCCTTGGTCAGGTAGAGATTCCAAATCTCGAAAGCGACAGGGTAGCTGAACAGGTCGAGGCCGCGCTCGTACACCTTGAAGCAGTCTTCGTAGTACTTGTTCTCCTCCAGGAGGTTTGCGTAGTTGACAATGGTCTGCGGCGTCGCGATGCGGAGCTCGAAGATTCTTTCGTAAACCTTCTTTGTCTCCTCCAGCGTACTGACACTCTCGACGAGATCGACGTAGAAACTCCACAGCTTCCAGCTCTTGTGTACACGCTGTTGTGGCGACAGCGACTCATCGAAGTAGTCGACGTTTGATCGCTTAGGCGCTTGCGTGGCCTTGGCCATGATGTCTACGGCCTTGTCGAAGTTTTCATTGCGGAGCTCCATCTCAGCCCATTCGCACCACATCTCAGCCAGCTCGGAGACCGATTTGAACGGCACCTTGACGGCCTTTTCCATGATGACACGAGCGTTCTTGAGATCGCCGCCTGATTCGTAGAGCTTTGCGTAGTTGGTCCAGAGCTCGTGGAACTTACCAAGGGCCTTCTTCGGATTGATCGCGGCGATGGCATCGGTATAGGTTTGTACCACCTCTTTCTTGTTGTCGCCCCAAAGCGCGACACGCTTCTCCCACTCGATGACATTGTGCGGGTTCTGTCTTAGCATGACATCGTTCAGCAGGAACGGTCTCCTCTGCATGAGTGATTCGAAGCGGACCATCCGGATGTCAAGGTCCGCGTCAGCAGCCTCATCGATCTTGCCTTTCTCCGATCGAGCAGCAGCCTCGTTGAGCTTGATTCCGATCATGGCCTCCTCGGCTTCCACGTATGTGTCGAAGACGATGGAGAAGTCGCGCACAGTCATGACAGTGGTCACGCCCTCCTCGAAGACGTCGCGCGCTTTCTCGTACTCGCCCTTGTGCATCCAGTATCGTGCGAGGCCAACCCAGAGGATACCGCGCTGGTCGGGGAACTTGGAGATGCCACTCTGGATGATCTTCTCGACGTTGATGCCACTGTCGTCGCTCGTGTCGATTTCCTTGGCGTGGTCAATCATCAGGTCGATCATCTCTGTCCAAAACTGAAAGGGTCCCTTTGCCTCCTTGCTCTTGAAGCGCGGGTTGTTGAGAATTTCCATGTACTGCTTCACAGCCTCGGTGTACTTGCGCATGTCCTTGAGTAGCTCGATGAAGTCCTCGGCGTCTTCGGGGTGAATCTGCATGTAGCGACGCCAGATCTTGACGGCCGTCTCGCCCGAGGCAGACGTCGCAAACGGCCGGTACAGGGCCCATATGCGGTTGTGTTGGGTCAGGGGAAGGGCGCGCAGTGCTCGGTCGAAGGTGCGGCGGGTGGTGGTAACGAGGGGCTGCTGCATGAGGAAGTTGAGGTACATCTCCCAGATGCGCGGCATCTTGTTGAGCAGCACGAGGGCGCGTTCGAAGAGGGCGTTGACCTTGACATAGTGGGCGGCGAACTTGGCAGGATTCTTCTTGGAGAGGTGCTTGGTGCGGAGCTCGAGGTACAGCTTCCACAACTTGTAGGAACGCGGCAGGGTGGTGACAGCGCGCTCGAGCACAAAGGCCTGCTCCAAGATGCTCCCACGCGACTTCTTGAAACTGTAGTAGTCCAGCCAGGGCTTCACGCTGCCCGCGTTGCGCTGGACGTCCTGCTCGTACGCGACGTCCTGGTCGGTGATGAGGAAAAGGTCCGACGACGGCTCCATCTTCCGCTTGGTGGGCCGCGAGAGGCTCGCGGTGACGGTCCTGAGGAGTTCGCCGGGCATGATTGCGCCAGAGCCAGGGCGTGTGTTGGCCCGCGGTGGGCAGGAAGGCGATGGGATGCGGTGCTGGACGGCTGATGGAGCGTGTCGCAGCGTTAAAGTTCTGAGGGAAAGAGTGATGGAGTCCGAGCGGTCAGCGGTAGCCTGCAGCCAATAAGCAACGTGCATCCCGAAGACCCGCTTTGCATAGTTGGCAGGCGCGCGAGCACGGACTCGTCTCACATAGCTCCCCGGCATAGCTGCGTCACGTTCCGTTGGATTCACTTGGTCGGACTGCGCACGCTGACTGGCTCCGAGACACCTACCAGACTATTGCCGGAGCATTGTCAGCCTCTATATTCGGTTTTAGCCCCATAGTCTTCTCCACCAACTGTTCGAGCCGCAAACATGTCTGGCAGCGGGGTACGGCCAGCGATAGCTATCCAATGCAGCACCGTCGATGATGCTAACTCGACCCCCAGGCACGAGAGGCCGTCTTCGCGACGCGGCAGTCGCTGGGTCTGATGAAGAGCAAGCTCAAGGGCGCTCAGACCGGCCACGACCTGCTGAAGCGAAAGAGTGAAGCCCTCACCAAGTATGCACTCACTGTCTGCTCTACCCTCCCCAAGCTTCGCTGACCGTATGCAGGCGTTTCCGAGGTACGACTACGCCGTAGACTCCCCCACCATGTGCCCGTGTAACTGAAGCCGTTTCCAGAAATAACGCGCCGTATCGATGAGGCGAAGCGCAAGATGGGCCGTGTCATGCAGGTTGCTGCTTTCTCCCTCGCCGAAGTCACCTACGCCGTCGGCGGCGACATTGGCTACCAGATCCAGGAGTCCGCAAAGCAAGCCCGCTTCCGTGTGCGGACAAAACAAGAGAACGTCTCTGGTGTCTTCCTCCCTCAGTTCGAAAGCTTTACCGTCGAGCAGAACAACGACTTTGCCCTGACAGGTCTGGGCAAGGGTGGTCAGCAAGTACAAAGATGCAGAGAGACGTATGCAAGGGCGGTGGAGACACTGGTGGAACTGGCTAGTCTGCAGACTGCCTTTGTTATATTGGACGAGGTCATCAAAGTGGTCAACCGCCGTGTAAATGCCATGTGGGTATCATCTCCTTCCAGACAACTGCCAAAACTAACAGCCAACAGTGAGCACGTCATTATCCCCCGCACCGAGAACACTATCAAGTACATCAACTCTGAGCTCGACGAGCTAGACCGAGAAGAGTTTTACCGCCTGAAGAAAGTGTCCAACAAGAAGCAGAAAGACGCTGCCGAGGAAGAAGCGGCAAGAGTAGCGGCAAAGAAGAAGAACGAGGAGGACGAGGAGGACGAGAGTGAGGCGAGACAAGATGCTGCCGAGAGCAAGGACATGCTCGGCGACGAGGACAACGAGGACGTCATCTTCTGAGTTGTCGACGGACGCCTAGTAGGGCCTCTTCTTGTATCTCCTCGCAAGGACAAACTCGTCATGTCCTTGCTTGAACTCTCGGGCTTTCCAGAATGCCGACACAGCCTCCCAAGACCACATTCCGTTTCCATCCCAATTCTGAGCGTCGTCTGCGAAGCTAAATAAGAGATGAGCATTGTACCATGTAGATGTGAAGACGGGCCTTCAGATAATAAGACTCTATTATGCCAGCCTGTATCTGAGAATGCCGAACGAGGTATCATAAACGCATAAATCCATAGCAATAAATCCATGTACAGTAACCTACTGTTGCCGCTGGTATGTGACCTTCATGGGCTTGCCCTCTGCGCCAATCGGCGTGTTGGCCGTCGCTTCTTTCGCTGTAATCGCAAACTGCTCGTTTTCGAATTCCGCAAAGGCCACGGCCCTGACTGAGACCAAGCGCACTTCCTTGAAACCTTCGAAGCGCTCGAATATCGTCGTGAGGTCCTCCTCGTCGACATCGCGGGGAATGTTCTGTAGGAAGAGCGTCTTGTTGGGTCGGACATATTCGTCGGGCACGGCAGCCGCTCCAGTTTTGGCAGCGCGAGGCTTCTCTGCAGCGACTGGATTGGCTTGCGCTTTCGCATCTTCTTCGGCGCGCTTGAAGTCTGTACCGGTTAGTGTTTGAAACGCCAGGAGCAGAAGACGCGTACCCTTGAGTGTCAGACGCTTGCGCTTGTGGTCGTCGAACAGTTCTGGCGCCTTTCGCTTGACCGTCTCGTCGCTATGTGTCTTCGCCCTGTGCACCTTCATGACCTTGCCGTACATCTCGAACCCGTTCATCTCCTCTACCGCCTCCAGCGCGGCCTTTTCGCTGTCGAAGACAATGAACGCCTGGCCCTTGCGCTTCAGACTGCTCTTCGCGATAACATCGAGAATCGGACCGTAGTATTGGAAGACTCGAGTCAAGGCTTGCTTCATGGTATCGATCTTAACGCGCTCCTCGAGGTTGTTGACCTAATGCTGTCAGCAATAGCACCGCCGAGTGCAATGCGAGTGCGCTGCTGGCGCCCTCATGTTCAACTCACATAGATTCTGTGGTTCTCCATTAGCATCAAGGGGACCTACCTTTTGGGCATGATCTTGCACTTACGTTTCAATGGGCACTGGGTATTTGCTGGGGTCTACGAGACCGCCGCCCATTACTACGCCCTCCATCTTGTCCGCCATCTTGAAGCGACTGTTGTGTGTGGAGTGGGGTTGTACAGCGTCGTCTCACCTAGCGGGTGAAAGCTATCGGGAGCTCGAATTCGAGATCCGCGCCAAGCACGCTAGGCTGCGTCCCCACGTGACGGCGAGCACAGCACTCCGGGGCTGCCATTTGCACCAAGTGTCTCGCCCTTGCCATCTTCCCAAAACGACAGGAGCCATGGGTATTGGCTCGCAAGATAATACAAGAACCGTAGTCCCCCGGCTGACCTGTGCGCCATGGACAACTGTTTAGGCATGATCTGGGCTGTTCTTCTATCGATGCAATGTTTCTTTTGTATCGCCAATAGTTTTCGCGTCTATTTTCCTTTGCTGCTACGCGTGGTCTGGCCGCTTGCATTTCTCAGCGAGCACTGACGTCAGCATATGTTTAAGGGCTCGTGCGGAAACTTCTTCAGAAGCCTTTCAAGTGAGCTGGACCATCCATCTTGCATTTGTTTATGGTTCCGATCCGAAGTTCTGTCAGCACACTATAAACTCTCAGAGTCATCTCAACAATGTCCCCACCAAGAGGGCTGCGATGGCGGTCACACCCATTGTTCATCGTCTTCACAGTGGGCATGGGCGCATTCGTGGATCTGTTCCTGTATGGGCTTATTGTACCGGTACTTCCATTTCTGCTTAAGGACCGTATCAATCTTCCAGATTCGCAGATTCAAAGCACTATATCAAACCTTCTGGCAGTCTATGCGGCCGCTTCCTGTGCAGCGTCTCCCATTGCTGGTATCCTAGCCGACAAATGGTCCTCGTCTCGACAGCTGCCGTTTCTCCTTGGGCTTGTACTGCTTCTCCTTTCGACTATCCTTCTCGCTCTCGGACGTAGCGTTGCTGTTCTGGCCATTGCGCGGTTCCTGCAAGGAGCGTCGGGCGGCGTGGTGTGGACTATCGGCATCGCTCTCGTGATCGAGACCGTTGGGAACGAGAATCTAGGCAAGACTATGGGCACCATTTTTAGCTTCATCTCAGTCGCCGGACTGTTCTCGCCCATGGTTGGAGGGCTCCTATATGCCAGGACTGGATACAAAGGCGTCTTCGGCGTTGGCGTAAGCTTGATTGGTATCGACTTTATTTTGAGAGTGCTCGTCGTGGAGAAGAAGGTGGCCGCAAAGTACTCTAGTCCTGATTCACATGCCTCGGAACCAGACGGAAATGACCACGAAGATACAGAACAAACACCTCTTCTACCAAACAGCCACTCTTCGATTGATCGTTATCGCTTGCCCAAACCCACGAATCGCTTTACACGTAACTTTCCTATCCTCATGCTGTTCCGCGATGCTAGTCTCCTGACCGCTATCTGGATCGGCTTCATGCAAGCTCTTCTGCTTGGGTCTTTCGATGCTACCGTGCCGCTGGTAGCTTCAGAGCAGTTTGGCTTCGACAGCTTGAAAGCTGGACTGCTCTTTCTACCGCTTGGCGGTGCGGATTTCTTACTGGGCCCAGTGTTTGGGTGGTGTGTCGACCGCTATGGTACAAAACCAGCAGCCGTCCTTGGATTTTCCTGGTTGATACCAGCGCTCGCACTACTCCGGCTTCCGACTGAATCAGGTATAATCCAGAGGCTAGACAATGGACATCTTATCGCACTCTACTCCGGACTATTAGCGATGAATGGAGTGGGGCTGGCAGCAATTAATAGCCCCAGTTTCGTCGAAGCTGGCAATCTTGTCGAGAAGTATTATAAGGCGAACGAAGACATGTTCGACCAAGCTCCGTACGCACAACTTTACGGCATCAACAGCATGGTATGGAGCGGTGGACTGACTGTAGGCCCATTGCTGGCAGGGAAACTAAGAGAGACGATTGGATATGGAAATATGAACGCGGTGCTTGCTGGTATTTGCGGATGCACAGTGGTTCTGGCGGCACTCTTCATCGGCGGCAGAAGAAAAGATTAGATTCGTGTACAAAGAAGTATGGTTCCTTTGGACGCTATCACCTAATTATGAAACCATGGTATATCCTAGAGTCATTTGCGGTACTCTGTATTGGTTGACACTCAAACAAACCTGATAGACACCTTCAGGCTATGATTACTCGAGTACAATCACTCGAAAAGAGCTGTCTCATGAATAGTACATCGGTCAAGGCTACTCTGCAATATCAGACATTGAGATATATGGTTTGGCTGCTCTTTTGCTTTCCAAAGGCTTAGAGGTGATTTCAAAGCTCGTCGGTTTATCTTAGGTTAATGTTGTAGTCGGCTGGGTGTTATTGCTCCATAGAGTGGAGGAGTAGGGTAATAGTTTTCCAATCCTACTATTCACCATGTCTTACTATGACTTTTTCATAGTAATAGTGGAATTGAACAGAGCTAGCCTATACACTCGCCCAGTTTTGGTGTCCCAGATATGATTGGGCTAAGATCGTTTGTTGCGAAATGCACTGAACGAGTTCCTGTGGGGTTCCCATACAGTTCGCTTTGTTTGTCTGCTGCTCTTAGAATACAGGACGTCATGGTATGTCGGCAAACGCGGAATCAATGTCTCCTAAGAAGATTGCCGGATTGTCGAGACTATCCCACATCGAATCCCCAAAAGCGAAAGTATCTGTTGAGAATTCTGCTGGAACTTGCAGTGGCGTTGGAAGAGCTCTACGCGACTCCTGAGTTTCGTCCGCTTCGATAGTTGTACACCCAGGCGGAGGCTGATTGACGGTCGGTGCATTCGGATCAACAGGCAAGAACTTGGTATCGTAGAATGACTTCGCCCACTTTGTCTTAGCAGACCACTTCGCAAACGCCTCATTGTTCAGGACCAGACCATCAGGACGAGATGTCGACACAGCATCGTAGCGTTGCGAGGCCTTTTCCAAAAGCGACGAGAAGTCAATAAACGATCTCAGAGCTTTTACGTCCCATCCGTCCATCTCGATCAAACTCGCTCGGACAAGCACAACGAAGATGTACGCAAACTGCGCAAAAACGCCGAAAGGGACGAGAGGATAGTGTTCGACAGGCAGCTCCAGGTATATATCTGTGTACCTTTTCGCAGCGTCCATGCAGTGCCACATGCCGTCTAATCGCTGCCTTAGGTCCGTCTCTTTGACTGTATGACTGGCTAAATTCCCAAATGAGCGTTCCCAGACGGCAGTTCGGGTACAAGCCTGCTGCAAACGCAGCACTATCGCTAACATCCCGTTTGCGGATGCTAGTTCAATGTTGTCTAGATCGCTGAGGAACGACTTGGCGTAAAAGCTCACTGGTGCATGATCGCATTCTGTGCCCATGGCTTCCTGCATGATGCGCTGACTCTGCGCTAATTGTACAAGTAAAAGGTCGCTTTCATATTCTTTAGCTTGCGTCAATGCTTCAGCACACTTCGTAAGCCAAGGAGACCAATGTAGAGTGTCGATTTTCCGGAACGATGTGAGAATCTGTGAAGTTAGATAGAATGTTCCAAGCACTGCGCGTCTCTCGTCATTTGTTACGACTTTCGCCGGTTGTGGTACGCCATGCGCCTGTGAGGCTGCCATCAAAGCCACCTTTTCACAGAATCCTGGCGCACGGTCGATTTCTAGATCATGGGTGAGCGCCATGGTAAGATGCAGGAGTACTGTGTGGCTTGGCGGTGCGAATAGATGTGGGTTATACCAATTGCCGAACACTAACATGCCTAGAGTATCGATTACAGAGTCAGTATATGTCTCATACGCAGTATGTGGGAGTATTTACCCTGAAGCAGATCTAGCGACTTCTCGCCATTGATCAACATCCTCTCGGAGACTTGTCGCATGAGATCCTTCACCATGCGCTGTTGAATTGCCGTGTCATGAAAGAAAGCTACCGTCTCGATAGCCTTTAAGAGAAACGGCTTGCTACCGGCCAAGTTAGAAGCATTGATGCCACTCGGAATCACCACAAAAGGCATGTGAGGCGCCATAAGCCTCCGGTAGCGATCGAGCAAGACGTCGGTATGTGTCGCGTTCATCCCCGTTGATACGTGTTCGGGATTTACTGTCTCGAGTGTTGGGTCATGAGCAGAGGCCAAAAAGTCGTTAGATCTTGTAGTGTTTGGCGTTATGACCAGTGGTGTTGGATACATATCATCGCTCTCCTGATGTAACCCGTTCATTTGCTGTGATATAGGGCTCCGCGAATTCGATTCTGCCGATATCTCTTGTGCTTGTTTGATGGCCAACGCCTGAGCTATGTCTGCGAGCTTTGTTTCAAGATTTTGCAATTGAGCAGATCGTCTGCTAGCAACTCAGCATCCTAATCTACAGTGGAAACATGGCTCAAGCTTGACTTACGTGGTTTTTCTTGCCTTGCGTTTGCGCTTCACTGGCTCCCGAATCTGGCAGGTCTTGTGCAATCGTGTACATCTAAGGACACACTGAATTAGTCGACTTATCCCCTGTGCGTTTTGCAGATTGATTTCTCGTGCTATTCAACCAGCTGTAATGCGGTCACTGACCTCTCGCAATCGCCGTTTCCTGGGCGCCTTATGCATTTGCTCTTAGCCTTCGCACAGACTGTGCATGATCCATGATGTGCATGAATAGTGTTCTGCGAAGTGACTGTTGCGTCTTCTAGTTCTTCATTCGATGAATCCATAGCGACTGAGGTGTCGTAATAGCAGGTTGGCACTTTTTGGGAGGCAACAATGATGATGAGGAATAACAGACTAGATGGAACTAGGTAAAGCGACGGATGTATCTGCCCGTCCGTCTAAACTCCGAAATCTCCAACATGACCTTTACGGCGCAAAGTTCAACCGTTCAGTAGGTCCTCGTGTGCGCCTCCGTATCGTTTACCTGCTACGGGAAAGGTCTGTTGTGCCTTGTAAAGGTCTTCCATATCTTTGTCGGTCAATTCTGATAGTCTGCTGTTCATGATGGCACGCTCGATATTGGTGGATCCAGGAATAGGAATCGCCCCTTGACGCGCTACCCAAGCGATAGCGACCTGCGATGTCTTGAGGCCTTTGCGATGGGCGACCTTCTCAACGGCTTCGACAAGTTTGTAGTTTTGATCGAAAACTTCAGGCTTGAAGCGGTCGAACATCTGAATTCGAAAGTCATTTGGCGACAGATCATCGATCTTTTTGAAATTGCCCGTAAGCCAGCCTCGTCCGACCGGACTGTACGCGATGACAGGGATGCCGACTAGGATTTTGTTATCAATGTCGATCTTCCAATGAGTTCAGCGCGCATCGACTTACGTTCATGGCATGTCTCCATAATGCCATTGTGGAGCGGATCGGGTGTAAACAAACTCAACTCAATCTCTACGGATGCGATGGGATGCACGGCGTGAGCTTTGCGAATGGTACTCGCGTTGACCTCGGACAGGCCAATACCGCGAATCTTGCCCTCTTCTACCAGCTCAGCCAAGGCTTTGATAGAAGTCTCAATGGGCGTGCGGGGATCGACACGGGCTAGAATGTCCTTAGCTAACAATCTCATGAGCCTTTAGAGTCCTCATACCCATCTCGAATATGTCAATCGCCTTTGCGCCTCCCAACCCTTTGAGAGCTTGTTCTACAGATGCGCGAATAGCCTCCGGACTTCCTGCTGGTCCGGTGTAACGGTCGTAGGCACCTTTGATGTTGAGGACAACCTTTTCAGCATCCTGGGGGTACTTCTCGAAGTAGTATCGCAGCAAGTGTACCGAGTTTGATTCTGGCGTGCCATAGTGAAGCCCTCCATTCCAAAGGTTGGCACCCTGGTCCAATGCCTTTTTCAGTAGGCTAGTTTGATGCTCGCGCTCAAACTGGGGGAACGGAGGAGGGAAAGTCAAGCCTAAGGAGTCTATTAGGAGTAGTTCTCTTCCGTTTTGTGCATGACAGCGTACCCATCATTCCAAATCCGATGGGGCCTACAGGTTTGCCACACACACATGAGGCTGCTACTCTTCCGATGCTCATGATGGAGGGTTTATTACAAAGAAAGCACTCTCAGTTAGAAAGCTCAGCAATGAGAACGAAGATTTGATTGCGATCGATGATGCGGTTAGTAGAAGCGACTGCTACGCTCTTATAGCTTCATCCTGAGCGGTACTGCGAGCGAACATACCGTCCGCTCCCGCACGTCAAGCATGCTTCGTTCGGCGCTACGATACATCTTTAGAAGAGTGTGAAATAAAAGCTATTGTTCCGTTCCCGGTTGCACGGTCGCATGGCTTCACGGTATTGAGAAGAAATGAATTAGGGAGAAGCGCGGTAGCAGTTCACTGGGCCGTCGGTACTTCGGGCGCTGTTCCAATCTCCGCTCCCGTTCGAACGGCGGCTCGGCACCCAAACTCAACAGCACATAACAAGAACAGGCCAAAGCCTCTCTCATAAACTGATACCCAAGAATCAGACCGACAATGACTTCTGGTCCCTTTCGTATACCATAATCCTCAACACTACACTCGTAGAATCGTTATCCGCCTTCAGTACATGGTCTTCCAAATGAATGAAACCTAAATGCTGGTATAGTGGAAATCCCATGGGACTTGCCTCAAGCCCGACATCGAAGCCAGCAGTCATGGCTTGATCGATACCCCATTGAGTGAGCGCAGTACCTGCGCCTCGCCGACGATAGTCTGGATGGGTCGCGAGCAGAGATAGGTAGAAGTTCTGGGGGTATGTCTTTTCCCAATACTTTGAGTGCGTGTAGTTCATCCCTTTCTCAAACGCCCCCAGTCGATTCACATCGGCATCGCGCCGCGGAAACTCCTGGCGTATGGCCCAGTTCTCTAGCTTGGTGACACAACCTATAGCTACTCAGCGGCATCCAGATTAGGGTTCACGCATGAATGCTCACGGTGTATCGTCTCCAACGAGCAATTATTGTACAGACTGGTTAGAGCCTGTGTCGCCGTTTTCTTCTCATTCCTCTCCCAGATTGCGAAAGCGAATATTGTCGCTACTGCTTCTCCACGATCTTCGCTTTTCTTATCCAATGACGCGACTTCTTCAGCTACGAGGAACGTGATGTTTGGGGTATACAAGTAAGTCTTGAATACTTGCAGCCAGAAAAAGTAGTTGTCATCAGGATATTGTTGCCTGTACCTGTAAAGCCACACGAATGCTGGGTCGTCAGGTAAGCTGGCGAGGCCGACTGTTGTAACGCGTGGCAGATCGCGGAGTTCTGCTTGCCTGACCCTGAATTGCGACATGCTGTTCGAAGAGCAACGAGGCGAACGGCCGCCTAAGGTGGTGCTGACCACTCCATTTAACCTTAAGCAAAAGGGACTTGGAATAAGCCACCTGTAAGTAGGATTCTCTGCCCTTGGCCTGATGTAGAAGGCGCAGCTGTATCGAATGGCAGGACCTGTACGTGAGCAAGGGGGCGGTTGGTTATCAGCCGTCAGCGCATGCACGGGTTATCTGGCATTATGTGGATTGAGCATGTTCGCTCCACGGTAAAAGAAAATGTGCATCTGAGCCTGCTGGTGGCTCGAAATTGGTAGTAAAGTCATGTTCGCTCTTCCACGTGATATCTTATTGCGCGCTCGCACTATAGATCACAGGCGGGTCTGGTGGTTGGCAAGTGCCTAGGCCAGGTGGTAGCCAAGTAACACGCTAGGCTGTCTCATTTCCGCAGCTGCGCAGGTGCCTCCGCGCCCGCCCACTGTTCTAGCTTTGCCGTGCCTTCGTATTCCATCACCTTCGTCTTCATAACATCACCCAGTTTGTTACACTTTTCGCAAAACTATCAGTAGAAACGTATTTTTTTTGTGCACTCACACGGCCTGCAGTACCACACAAAACAAACTCTGCGAGATCGCTAGGAAAACCCAATACAACCGACGTTCAGACACGCAAAACGCACCGTAGAAGACTAAGGGATGCAATCCATCTCTCGTATAAGACCTTTGGAGGGTACCGAAGCTCTACCGATCGTACTCAGTGTGCCGACCGATATCGAACAGCTGAAGTTTCTCTGACGAGCGGTTTCGATCTTCACACCCCATCGTATTTATTCGTAAAGTAATCTCGGAGAACACTATCGAGATCGACATCTACGTCTCGAAGCAATCGTATGCTATACGTATTGTGTTGCATCTGGTAGTTGTTCAGCGATGCTCAAGCTCCACAGCGGTTATGGCGACGCTTACTTCAACACAGACGTTGTCTTTGCCGACAACTCTGTTCATGGTGCTCAAGAGCTCGTTTGGGCTGTGTATCCATTTAGCTGGTACCTGTCGGCCAGACGAAACCTCAGTGGGTGATGCGCCGCGTTGGCTGTGAGTAGAAACCGTCATGTATAAATCTGGTCGGAGTTGCAGGTACGAAAGATGACGCTATACTACGATGTATACCGCACAAGAGGTAAGATCGTGATGTTCGAATATAAGCTCAAGGCGTTATGCTGAATTTTTCCTCAACTTCGTCTGACTGGGGGTGGTTAAAGCAGGACTGGAGGGCAACGGGGCGGCTGACGATAGCCTTGGAAGAGGAGGGCGATATGAAATGCCGCCCCCAAGATCTGCCGCAAGCACACCACTCTGATGTGGGAATTTGCCTGCATGTATGCTTCCACGTACAACGCCGTGTGTGTCCGTACGTCTCAGCCCATCCAATAGCGGCGACCTCTGAAGCCGACCAACGCCAGTCTGCGCTAAGTGGCTTTATTAGTCTACATTGCCTACTCAGCCATTCGTCCCTCAAAATTCTCGGCCGCCGTGCAAATGACCTCTACCGGGGTTTCTCACACCCTTTCATAGCATTTTCAGAACAGCACTGACGAACACAGGCTGTGCGTGTAGCGAATACGCCAGGCAATAGCCACTTAATTGAAGCTGTCAAGCAAAGGCACCCTCCTTGCAGAACCAGAACCAATCATCTAACGGATATGGCCCGTGTCGTTGCTACCCTTCGAGGGGCGATTACCGGCTGGTGCAGAGTTCCCGCGCAGTATGCGTGAACTCCTTGGTCGGGTGGGGGCTAAGCGCTTGCGACTGGATGACTTCGAAGCGGTCAATGAGGCTCTCTGGTGCCGACGAATTGCCTGCTTATATACCGACCAATATTTTTGAGCTTCATTGTCCTACCAGCCGATCCGCATTTGAGGATTGCCCTTGTTATCGTAGTACCAATACCAGCGCATATTCGCCAGAAGCTACGCCTCAGCCCCTTGGGTAACATGGTCTTGTACGATGGACCAGGGGCCGAGACACATTCCGTAGGGGTAAGTTTTCCAGCCTGTCTTGTCAAAGCTATAGAATCACTAAAATAGACAAATAGCGCCAATCAATGGCGACTCGGGAACTACAGCCAGCTCGACTCCTTGCACTTCAGGAAGATGACTGGCATCCCGATCGTGATAACACCCTACGGGTTGGATCAGGTCATGTTTACACATCAGCGAGTGGCATCAGTAGCGCCGTCGAAGATGGAGGTGATTCGCAGCAGCTAGACGATATCGCGGAGAAGAGATTAAGTGGCAAGGGATCAAATGATGTTGACTATGCTGGCGCTCGCTTTCCTAGCGAGAATGATATCGAACGGCCACACTCTCTGCCCGAAGATTTTGATGGAGACCGTCCAGAACCGCTAGGAAAACTTATTCGACGTCACATGCTCATTGCAGCTAGTTCCACGAAATCACAGTTTCTGCCGCTTAGTGACCTTGAAGCTATTGTCACCTACCGCAACATAAGACGAGAGCTCGAGAGGTCAGGAGTCACTTCAGATCTGGACCGGATCGCAGACCAAGTCTGGTCCACCAAAAAGCTCTCTAACGGCACGACCACACGACGGAAGATCTTCGCGATCTTATGCCTTATGGAGAGAGCACAGAACATCCAGGATTTCATTTACGAAGATGTGTTTGACTCTCACCTTCCATTTGAATTTGAGCACAATCAGAATCGGGTGCTCCGTAACAACAAATCACCAGTACCGATTGAACTTTTCATCCGATGGCAAGACAACGATCGCGACAGCTTTCGTAATTACCAAGGGGGGTTTTTAGCGCCTTACCTCAAATTTACGGCAAAGAAGTTGAAGCACTATACGCTACACCATTGCATCGTCTTGCCCTTTTTAGAAAGGGAAACAAAAGGTAATATACCTAGTGATACTGTTGCGACATACTTTTCTGTCGTCTATCGTGTAGAGATACATTCGGCGCATCACGACTACCATTTGATGCCTGTAAGTATTCAGTTGAATAGCACTTTGCCGTGGACAATGCTTATCTCGTTCAGGGAAACTCATCGAAGGCATACTTTGCAGTGAAGCAACTCCAGAAGATCGAGGCAGCCGAGCATAGCCGTCGAAAAGCATACGATCGCGAAGTAGCGGCATACAAGAGGCTGAATTTCATCCAACACAGTCACATCGTCCGCCTTCTTGCAACATATGAGCATCACGATAGGTTACACATGATCTTTCCTTGGGCAGATGGTAATCTTTTCCAGTTTTGGAACGATCACTTTCCGAACATAGGTGATCTTTCCCGAGGCCCAGTTTTGGCGCGGTGGATGATCCGCCAAATCCTCGGGCTGGCCGAAGGTCTCAACTGCATACACAAATCTGACACAAGCTCAGCGTCAGGCGATGTGCTGCCTGAGGATAAGAAGAGGACACACGGTAGGCATGGCGATATCAAGCCGGAAAACATATTGTGGTTTAAGGACACAACAAGAAGGTTCTCCACCGACAATCTTGGCAAACTCACGATATCTGATCTTGGCTCAACCGAGTTTCATGGTACGCTTTCGCGAGAAGTGCAGGCAAGTGCTGCAGGTGGATTTACACCAACGTACAAATCGCCTGAGTTCGATGATAAGAAGCGAGTACAACCCGGGTCTGATATTTGGTCCTTTGGCTGTGTTCTCTTCCAGTTTGTCGTTTGGTATGTGCTCGGCTGGCAGGGTGTGGATGAGTTCTCTAAGCGACGGATGAAAGATTCGATGCTTTCGCCCCAATTGGACAACTTCTTTCATCTCAACGAGAGCACAGGCTCGGCAGAGGTGAAGCAGTCCGTTCGTAAGGTGTGTTGTCACAGCCTGTGCGTTTTGCACGACACTAACATTGAGTAGGAATTCGCAACGCTCCGGGAACATCCTATCGCCAGCGACTTTATTATGAACCTTCTGAACCTCATCGAGTCCGAACTCTTGCTTTTGCACGTTGATCACCGAGCAAGCTCCGGTGATACCGTCACCAAACTTGAGACTATTAAAGCATCTTGCGTTGGCGACCAGCAATATTGCACAGAGAAGACAACCCGAGGGATACAAACAACCCCCATCGGACCCTCTGGCAAGGTCGAAATTCCACTCTCTGACGAGATGAAGCCAAAGTACGCCAATGGTTTGGATCCGAGCGTGTGCCTTGTGTCTTCGGCCAACACTAAGCAAAATCTTGCAGCGTCAGGAGCTGAAGAAGACAAAAGTGGGACTGAGGAGGGCGATAGCGATATGAGACTTTCAGCGAACGATTCGGGTGATCAGGCTAAGATAAGCAAAGGCTCCGCAGCCGCAGAAGAGCCCCACGCTGGAGCAAGCACACTGGTAGTTCCGCATGAAGAACCGCAACGACAGCGACGTAATCGTCTCCAGAAAGTGGCATATTGGGTTGATAAACTTTCCTGCTTTCGAAGTTGAGCCTGTGCAAAGGCATTTCCGTTTTCAATTCACTGTGTTAGCGTTACTCGATAGATACCCTACATATAGATCTCACGACGCTCACGCGCCGAAGTAATGTAATACAATCAGCATTTCTCTTCTTCTATAGGTTTTCGGCTTGTGCGACGATGAATGACAAAATAATACCACAATCCAATTGTGAGGGCTGTGAATACAACCGTTACAACGATGTACACCCATAAGTAGCTCGACACCTGAGTCTTGCCGTCGCTTCCAGACCAATCAAAGAATGTCATGGAAAACACAGTCTGTGTCGTAAGATCAGTACGTGTCCTTAACATGTGTGAATCACCTTACTGCAAAAAATGTCCCTGGGAGGAAAACCATGGTAACTAGCGATATCGACTTCATGACCCTCGACTCTCGATTCGTGGCCAAAGCCATCTCCACAGCTGTTTCGCTGTGTGACTGCAAATGTAAGCGGAAGGCTATCAATAGTGGTTGAGCCTATTACCCATTGTGTGGCCATGGCCATACCATCCACGCGCATAGTACAGTCCCTGATTTTCGCGTCGTACTCTTCGCAAATCGTGTTCAGCCTGAGCTCGATCTTCTTTCCCACCTGTCGCATGCGCTGAGAGAATATAGTGTCGCTGTCACCCGGCTGTGTGTACTCAATGGGCGACGAACATATCTGATCGACAACCAGAGTGTCGCTAGTTTCGCTTCTTGCTGCTAACTTGATCTCCGACTCACTGAATCGACGTGAGTCAGTACGATGTCCGACAGGATCATAGAATTCCTTGCCCACATCGACAGCGTGCTTTGACATCTTCTCGTTCTGGACGTTTGTTGTGATCAGAGAGTTTCTGAGGTATGTCATGTCCAGCCAAGTATTACGTTTCTCCTCATGCCGCTTCTCAAGTTCCTCTCGACTCAAGCCTTCCGTGCCAACAGATTCAAAGTCTAGCGCAAAAATTTTGGATTCTACGTCTACTATTTTGGAACTGACTTGTCGTGTATAGCGCAGAAGTTCGAGTTCTGCAAAGATACCTGGCATAAGCAGCGGATGAGAAGCTGCGTCTCCTGTACTGTTCAGGCTTCGCAGCAAAGACCTCTCGATATCGGATGTGCAACCATAAAGGATGGCGTACGTTAATCCCTTTTCTGGATACGAAGTCGCAGAGAGCGCCATATCTGATGGCCATTCTCTTGAAGTGCGGCAGTTGTACACTGGTAATTTCATCGATTAGAAGCTGTTTAGCAAGACGCAGTGAAAGTCGCATACCGTAGGCTGCTTGATCCATTACCACTTTGTCACAACTGAAACTGGGAGATGTAGTCCTCGTGATAGTCTTCGTGATTGAGCCATGAACTCGAAACTTTTGGCATATACTCTTGAAAGTCTTATAAGAGAACGGTAACTTCCGAATATCGGCCTGTTTGGAACTTTGCTTGTGATGCTGCTTTCCTGCCAGTGCAGCGAAGGTTTGAGAGCAACGGAGTCCAATCACTGATTTTTTACTTTCACTATTGTATTTGAGCCATTCCGTATATGACATGGCTTGCGACGTAGGATCGTTGCCAGTGTCTTCACCTACTCGCCTGGCGAGACTATTTCGTCTATCAGAATTGACACTTAATCAGGAAGTGCTCACAGGAATACGTACATCAGCACTAAGCCATGATGGGAATGGTTTTCGTTTGCTTCCTTTTGATGTTAACAGTGACAGCTGGCAATAAGGTGAGACGCTTACATCGCGTAACCACTCAGCCCACTCATCGTCAGTTTCGAGGGACCAGATTTGTAAGTGATACTATAAGCTTCAGTATGAGTCCGTTAAGACAGGGCAAATACACACCCCATTCTCATTCACGATCTTGATGGCTAGTGCTGCCCCTGGCGCATAAGTGAATATTCTCTCTAGGTCTGTACCTTGGTCGCTCAGCCAGGCATTATCGCGGGCCCAGTCCATATCGGTGATAGCCAAGAAGCATTTAGATTTACGAATGCATGCGCGACACGAGTCTTTTGAGGTGTGGGTAGGAGGCGATTAACGCCAGCAGGCCAGGAGGCTAAGGGCGCCTGTCACGGTTGATTCGTTATTACAGAGTGGCGGTGTCTTCACCGGCGTGCAAAATCGCCTTCCTTTTGCCTACGCGCTAGACCATCGGACACGCAGTGCACCCTCAGTACAGTCATTAGGGCAATATTTTGGCCTTTTTTGGTGTGTGTAATGCTTTGTGCAGCGTCCACCGCGTATGTGGTGCGCTGGCGGGGCTTTCGAGGGGCAATCCTTGCCCTGCAATTGTCGTGTGAGTTCCGGACGTCCTAAAATGTCTCAACCTGTAAGCCTCGAACATCGGTACATACTCGTATATTTTGAAGCTACCATCCCGGAAACCTGCAACAAGATATCTCGGCGTTATGGCTGTCATTGCGATCGTCGAAGCGGATTACAACCAGTGTGCGGTCTTGGAGAGGTTTCTTGGTAGCACATTCCCCAAAGGAGGGGCTTCCGTCAAAGTACGCATCTCCTGGTGCTCTACATATCAACACTAACTCTGTGCTTAGCATTCAAGAGGGCTTTTCAGATGCAGAATGCCTCGTAGTCTGAATATGGTGAGCCTTCCTGCTTCATAACCCCAACACCATCTAATGACGGCAGCAAGAGTTGGAAATTCTGATGAACTCAGGCATCTTCGAGCACTATAGAGAAGAGTGATGCTGCGAAACAACATAAGAAAGGCTTAGCATAATACGTTAGGGCGTTACTGCATGATCACTAGCTGGTCGCTTCTCACATTCAGTTCATAGTTTGAGTTAAAGCTGGGCGAAATATCTTGGTTAGACTACCATGCATGATCCTTGTTTCAATCAAGCTATCTACAAGATCATATATTGAAGATCGCTTACCACAGATCTCCAAGTTCACCTGGTGTTTTTGAGCGCAGTGTCTCACCAGTGACCGGTTTGAGCGGCGGGTTTGTCCTTCGAACTACGCCAAGGACTTGATCACTCAGGAGTGCATCAACAAGCACACGTTCTTTAGTCGGAAACTTCTTTTGACATGCCTTTTGGCAGTATTCGTCCGTCTGATCGCAAACTCTTCGATACATTCTGTCAAGCTCAGTATAGAGCTCAACGGACCCGATCCTTTCGCAGTCAGGCGCTATCACAACTAGCATTCTTTCTTCGATCAGGTCCAAAAGATCATGAATGAACTGTGTGCAATACGGATGGTTGTGGAGAAGAACAATCCACTCAGACATAGTCAGTGTAGTCAGCGATTTATACAGGATTGCGACTTACTTCGTGGACCTCTCCTTTTACTGCGATAGCATGCTTTTGATATGCGAGTTCGAGAGTTCCTGGTAGCTGCAGCCTATCTTGCGATACTCTCGATTCTTTCGAAAGTATCTCAAAGAAGATGTCAGTCCCGGTCCCATGAATCCCCGGCGTCGTCCGACGATCTTCGAATTCGTCCAAAAGTCTCTGGCCACCCAGCATCCAGCATACCATTTCCAGAAGAAGACATCCATAAGTCCATATGTCGAATGCTCGAGATACCGTACCACCCTTGAGGTCGCATTCAGGTGGCCTGTATCCAGGAGTTGCAGAGAGGCCTTCCCCAGGAACGTTCGACCGACTCTGGGTGGAGTTGAATTCAGTGAGTCCAAGGTCGGCGATAACAAGAGTGCCCTTCTCGTTTGGTGCTGATGGAGGATACCAGAGGATATTCTCGGCCTTGATGTCGCCGTGGCGACCATACTTTTGCTTCGGCTCCAAGCTATTATTGTATCCAGGGCTGTGAATCGTTTTCAATGCACCAGCCATACCGAGGATCTGCTTCGTCACCCATCGGATAGCATCTAAATCCATTTTCGTCCCGTCGCATGGGTACCTCTGATGCTTCCAGTAGGATTTCAGGTCTCCTTCTGCCCATGGGAACAGCAGACAGTATCTATCATGCACACTAGCCTCAATTGCCCATGTCGCCAATAGTGTGACAATGTGTTGGTTGGGGCGATCATGCAATCGCTGAAGAGCATCCACCTCCTTCTTGAAGCCGAGAGCTTGTTTCGAAAGATCGCCCCTTTCTCTCGGTTTCAATCGCTTCAGTGCAAACCATTCAGTTGTGTCGACCTAGTGACGAAGATTAGCGAGGAGAAAGCATGTTATCAAAAAGGCTCACCGAGGGTAGGACATCCCGAAAAGTATGACATTCAGGATGGAGCTGCACTCTAAACACTTCGCCGAAGCCAGCCTGGGCAACAAATTCTTCGTGTAGTATTGGCAGAATGGCGCTCTTATCGAGGTTCACTGTGTCTCTGCCACGTCCCAATAAGACGGGATTGACTTGGTGCTTGAAAGCCATGAAGTTGTCTCGATCCGCATCTGACCAATGACTGAAGCAGGACAGCACTTCTCCGTTCAGCAAAATTGGGCAATCATCGCCTTTGCTCTGTTGCAACAACGGCAAGCTTTCGTCTGACACCCCCTGTTGAATGCTTTTGTGGATGTCATCATGCTTTGAGAGCATTGTCAAGATAGCAAACACTTTCAGGTGACGTGTGAGAATGGTGTTTGTCAAGTGCTGAAGGTTGCGAGAGACATCGTGGCTTTCCGATAACTGGGCTTTAATACGCTCCTCGGTAATGATGCGCTTTAGGCTTCCCTCCGACCAAAAAAAGGACCCTTCGAAACTTTCAATTCTTGCCCGTCGCAATTCTTTGCTGAGAGTGTGAGAACAATGCTTGACATCTTCATTGATCACATGACATTGGAGAGTACCTGCATCTCTGGCTTGGCGTATCGTGGGGGTGTTTGATGATGCATCGTCAGGCAGTACCAATATTGGAGGCGGGAGACCCCCTGGGAATTTCGGAGAGGACTCGTCGAGGCCCATATCTTGGTTGTACTTCATAGATAGACAGGTTGAACGGCTAGCATGCTGAGTTGGATGCGAGGTGCTACTGCTAGGCCGACGTAAGGTAATCCGTTTCTGCGTCGCTAATGGAGTAAGATCAGTCCTTAGGCTTCAGGAGCATAAAGCACTACCTCTGACGCCCAAGTCGCGGTTTGTTGCCCTTATCACTTTATTAACATGGACAAGGCTGAAATCTCCCGACCAGGCTACGATTCAGCTGACCTTGGGCAGCTCGACCACATCAACATGTACAGCCCATATTGTGGCTTCGTTCGGGCTGAGTAGGCCATTCAGCCTATGAATTTCCAAGGTGGTGTAAGAAGACGTTTTCCCATTGCTGAGATGTTGCATGAGCATGATGGAGGACCTCGACCCAGCCCCGTCTCGCTCACTGATGTGCGCCGTGCAGTACAGGTTGCTTGGAAAACATGCGTCAATCAATGAGTCACCGGCACAGATGAGATTCAGCCAGGATGATCGTCGACCAAATAGTTGCCCTTATCTGTCGGTGAACTGCACATGCATCTGGTATGATTAGGCATCTATCAGACGGAAGCTTTCGGGGAAACAGGAGAGCGAAGTAGGCAAAGCAAACCTTGGAAGTCGTCCGGTGGCTCACGTTGTTTCGTCTCCGTAACTTATACTGCAACAAAGATTTAGAAAAACGGAGAAGGGAAACCTGGAAAGTCAGAGCGCAGGGATCTGGTTAGCACCTATCGGGTCTGTAAGCCTAGAGAATGTCAGTTTTCAACGTCATAACACCGCAAATACTCCTGTTAGGTGCTGACATGTGTCTTGTCGGTATTTACTCTCGATACCTGTTCTCTGTCCAAAATGATTTGTGTATTGTCTGGAATTACGACATGTCTGATGGACTTGTCATTGCAACTCGTCATGACGTCAGTGTCTCCTACGACACGCTTACAGACAACCGATGATCAGTCAAAGTAGCAGAACTGCCAATCAACATGTTTTCTCACCTCTCTGCAGTAACGATGTGTCTTATTACTCGCTTTGTTTTCGTGTGAAGGCACAACAACATAAGATATGAATCAAAATGGTATTGCGTATACTTTGCAGAATCGCAGGGCTGGACGATTTATGAGTAACACCGAATTGTCTGATCAGA